CCCCCCCCAAGCTTGAAACAAATGACTTCACTCTTCAATGCACACACATTTCACCCCTTCCCAAACACTGGTTTGTGGGTCACCTTCTGGACTGCGCTGCGGGTGGAGTTCGTGAAAGACCTTCCCTTATGGTCCTGGGAGCCCCCTTTTCCAGATAGGATCAGCACAATTACCCCCAGGCCTAGTCATCATCATACAAGACCATTTCTGACGGTGTTGTGAAGATGATGGTAAACAACTCCGCCTGTAGCTGTTGAAGATGATTTATGACACAAGCGTCCTATTCAAAAATGCTTACTGTCCAAGCTGATGGATATTGCCTGTTGGCAACAATCACTACAGGATCCTGATCTAAGAGAGAGACCTATGGTGCATTTCCACTGCCATCAAGATCCGAGCTGTACCCGAGCCATAGCGTAAAGAGACGGTTTTCCATTGTAAACTACACAAGACATACCTGCACTGACATGACCCTACTTACTAGCAGGGCTGAACGCATGACCAAACCAAGCTGGTTATGTCACCACCACCTGATTGGTCGAAATTCTTGGAAATACAAGCATTCTGGGCATGGATTATCTGAAGGAAACTGTGTATAATCTATATATTATTCATTATTAGTAGTATTGCACATCACAATGTACTGATGCATTCCCAATAACTCGGAACTGGTAAATTTCTAACCTCCTACTTAATAAAGTACTATAGAACAGCTTAATGGAATAGATTCGTAATGTAAATTTACATAAGTGAATGCTAATTCCACTAGCATTTGATGCTAGCATAACACAGCAAATCTCACAGAAAGTTCTAGCGGAAATTAGCACACAGCAATTTATGATGCACACCTTGTGCACAGTAAACAATTCTCTCTCTGGTTCAACGTCAATGTCACTCTCCAATCCAGGCAATGCCTTTACCAAGCCAACCCTTCAATAGTGCAAGCTGGAACCGCGCCGAAACTAGTCTCTCTTCATGGATACGGCCCGGTTCCTGAATGCCAGTGGAAAAGCGCCACTAGCATTGGTTCCTGCACCATGAGCCTTTTGCTTGGCATAGTTTCTAAATCCTTGAAACATGGGAGGATATAAGAACAGAATTAAGTGGAGAAGAAAACAAAGGATGGATTTGCCCAGTTAATAACTGGATCACATTCAGCTCTCCCACTGCTCTCCTCCTTCCCTGTTTCCGCCCTCATTCCTGAGCATCATTAATCCCATAGTACTCCCAGTTATTAATTTCCTGCTAGAGACCCCTGCTTGCCTGTACCCCAGCAGGAAGCCCTCCAGCATGGCTGCACCCCCTCACCCGTCCATCCTCTGCGACAGAAGGACCTTGCCACCTCCATTTATGGCATCCTCTCTACTCCTTCCTTGCACTCCAACTTGTCATTCTCAGACTAAATTTATCAGCCCTCCACTCCGCCAGCAGCAGGCAAGGCCAGTGGCCAAAATCCCTGCCGTGCCGCTTGCAGACCTCTTGGGTGGGGGGGGGGCAGGTAATATCATGCCAGGGAATGCCTGTACCTCTAACTGTCCTGGGGAGGCGGGGGTGCACCCTTCTGCCAACAGCTTACTTCAGGATCTGTGTTGAAGCAGGACTTTGTTGGTCCATTCTGATCTGTCACAATTACCGACACCGCTGACATCAGAGACTGTATTTTTGTCCAGCGGCTGTTTGACATTTTAGTGACCAGTAGGACACATGCAGCTTGGAGATGCGTTACTGTTCTTGAAGCACACTTCCCTACATTATCCCTATGAAGTGTTGTATAGTCTTGTTGGCTTCTTCGAAGTTCTCCAGGTCCAAAGAAAAGCAGTTCTGTTGTCTTTGGTGTGTGCATGCAGGCCTATCATGTCATACAGGCCTATGATGTCAAACCCTATCCTCAGCTTCCTGCAGCTGGCTTCAAATCACTGAGACTCCAGTTAGGTCATCCATTCATCATTCCAACTCTCCATAGTGCGTGATTATGTGTGAGCAGTGATGCTCGTGTTTCTACCCTGCAATGGACTGGCATCATGTCCAAGGTCTACCCTGGCCATGTGCTCTATGCCAGTGTTTCTCGACCTAATTCTCAGGAACCCTGAGACGGTCCACATTTATGCTACCTCTGAGAGGGAGCAAAATTGTGTGTTGTCCAGTATGGAGTTGTAAGGAGCAAAAACATAGAGCGTCTGGGGGTCTCTGAGGACTGGGTTAAGAAACAATGCTCTGTGTGACCCCAACCAAACCCTGACCAACTATTAAACACAGATGTATGGAAGGATGATGGATAGAGGTTAACGTAACTGGTACACTAGTATGTATTTGTGGTATAGAGGTCAAAATGTGTAGTGATTTCTTGTCATAACAGCACAATTGTGTATTTATTTTGAGAGCATTTGCAAAGTGAGTACAAGACATCACTGTCCATTTTAACCTTTAAACTGTTAATACGTACTTACATACCAGTTATGCTAACATAACTGATTGTGAATGTTCGGTTGTATATAATGTTATTTCTCAATATTGTTACTCGGGTCAATATAAACCTGACCATGACTCACCAGTCCTGGTCCCTCATTAAATGGATAAAGAGTAGATTCGGTGCGTTATGCATTCATGTCTTTCTGTTCATTGCATTTGGCTCTATGAATTGTTTTTCTCTAATTGCTTCATTTGAATGAATAATACAACCACTCTGGTTGGACCGGCGGGAGTAAAACTATGCATCGCTGTGTCTGAACTCCACTAAAGCCCCTGTATGTTCTCTCAGCTCGCAGCCTTGTTTACACTCTCGGATGTGTTCGTTAGTCAGCTCGTGGCTCCTGAAAGTGTTCCAGTGAACCTTGAGCTGTATCCCTAGGGTGTGACAAATATTTGCAAGTGTGTGCTTTTTTTCTCTCTCGCCTGGGGCATGGTTACATGTCGGCTTGTTCGGTGTTTACATCATAGTTAGGGGATTCCCTCACAAGGCATTACATAAATGTCACTCAACACTCCTGATAACATCATCCTGTATGGTTCCCCCTGTATCTCCCCTTACGTCACCAGGCAGTATCTATATCAGTGCTTAGAGTGTTTATACAGAAAGGGGGTGTGGGTGTGGGGGGGGGGGGATCTTTGCTTTGGTTTGTAGACTCACACGGGGCCTGGCAGGCTGTTACAGAGCAATTGATGGTCTATAGTAAAGCCAATTAATAGACGATGAGGTCTCCAGAACCAACCGGATCAAATGGGCACCGACTGTGAAATTACAAAGGAGTATTAATGTGGCCTGAAAGTACGTTTGAAGGAAAAGAGGAAAACAGAGGGTGGGTTGGGGCAGCTGGGTAGTGGAGGTGGTGGACATGAAGGAGGCAGCACAAAAAAGAGGGACGGATGATCGCATAAACCTCCTGAGCTCAGCTAATACAAAACTCCGTCTTTCTGGTTCCATTATGATGAGCACATTCTCAAAAACACCAGGGAGAATGTGATAGGGCACTCGTGTGACGAGAACTGCCGATCCACGGGTTCTGGAAGCACACAGGGGGCGTGGCACCGAGCGGCGGTGGGGGTAGGAGGGCGCGGCGAGGCCTCGCACGACCTCCGCTCAGCCCCAGCTTGCCCTATCCCTGACCTTCTCCTTCCCAGTCTCTCAGATTTCTTCACGTGGTCCCTAGAGGTTATATTTGGGCTTATTGAGGGGAGCTGGAGGGCCCGTGTAGAACCGTGAGCATGGGTATGCCACAGGGACCGATTCTGATTAACTTCTGTTCAGGTATGCTAATTCTGCTCCTTGCCACCAGAGGACGCTGTTGGCATCTCGCCTCCACTTAGACAAGGGGGTGATGTGCTTCTAGTTCCCCTCTCGCTCCCTTTCAGCTATTATATTTCTCTGTTTCAGCACTTTCTTGCGAGGGGGGGGGGGAGTGTGACAGAGAAGGTGAGATATAGTAGAGACGGAGTGGAGTAAAAAATAAGAAAGCGGAAACACAGACACGAAAATAGACGTAAAGCAATAATCCTAAACTGGTGACAGCAATCCAGGAAATACAACACAGATAGGGAGGCTGAGAGTGACCCATCAAGGGCGAAACAAGGACCTGAAGACACGGTACCAAGCTCAGACAGGAGAAGGAAGCGATTTGACAGTATCAGTGATGGTCATGGCAGGTGCAAGGCTGTTAAAGCCCGCGACAGGTGTCTTGGAAGAGGTTGAGGTGGGAGAACAAGCGAGGGGTTAGAGCTGGTACAAGGATTTGCATCTGAGGCTAAAGGGGTTGTGGGGGGGGGGGGGGGGGGGCAGGCTGCGAGCTCCAGCATTGGAGTTGCCTTGCATGTGGCATCGCAGTGAGCAGCACTGGAATGATCGCAATAAGAAGCCGGCAGACTTGTGCATGTGACACGTTGTTACCTAAAGACCAATCAAACAGAACCCCCCCCCCAATAAACACCAAATGCATGCCTACAGATGCATATTCCATGTTTTGCTGTTGTTGTTAATCTAACCAATAAAAACCTAAAGGCTCTCCTTCCTTCCAACCCGGGTCCCCCATGAGCTACAGCACCCCCTAGAGTTTCACAGCTTCTTTACATTCTCCTCAGCTGGAATCTACAGAGGTGAAGAGGCAGGCTGTTGTACTTTCATGGGAAGGTATTTCTCAATCAGGCTGCTTCATTTGTGGAGATGCTGCGAAACGGGTCATGACTGCTATTAATACTGAACTTGTATAACTGTGTATGTGTGCATGCAGCGTGTGAGTCATTTATGCACCAAACAAGCCCGTGTAAATGCACACACTGCCATCGGCATGCGGCTTATAATGCAAAGCGCCATGCTGTGTTATGGGTCATCGGCCAAAGCAGGGAAGGAGATTCCAGAGTGTTACAAAGAAAGGAACCTTACATTTCAGAAGACCCCCCCCCAACATGCAAATGACCTGTAAGGTGCATGGTCTGTACTCCCAACATGTGAATGTCCCATTCGGCATTTTGGAGGGCACCATCTGCCCCGCCCCCCCAACCCCCTGCGGGATTGCCACATCAGTGCTGTAACTGTAACCATGCGTGGCACGGGATTTGCATGCTGCTTGGGCGACCAGGCCTGCCAGTCTTCCTGGTCTCGCACCACAGATACAGCATTCCCGTTGCTGGAGTGCAGCCGCGCGCGCGCCACATATGTTCGCGGGAGCGGGAGGGCGCGCGCCGCGGCGGCAGCTGCTCCGACCTTGGACGTAAGTGTATCCGCGGGTATCGGAGAACCTGCATTCACTCTAATGCCAGAGTTCAGCGCAAAGGATCAGCCTGTTTACTTACTTACTTGTCCGTTTTTCTTTTTTTGGTTTATAAATGTTCAGATTCAATGGACACAAGCAGTGGTGGAAAAAGCACTAAAAAATTACAGGTGCTACACCATAATGTACCTGTGTACTGAAAGTACAGTAGTTCACTAAAATAGTAGGCTACTCAAGTGAAAGTAAAAAAAAATACAGATTTTTAAAATAGGGCTACTCATAAGTATAATAAATAAAAAGAACCACACATTAAAATAAAATAAAAAAAACAAACTAACTTATCCCGGTAAATTATTGCGGGAGAACAATGCATTACAATAAGGAAAACTGAATCGCAAACAACGAGTCGCAAAAAGACATGTGGATGTTTTCTTTTTATTTGGAGAAAAAGTGGATAAACTTGCTGAGCTCGATCTCCGGGCCGGATTTAATAAAGAATTAAAAACATGTCGTCGTCAACTATGGAAGATGCAATCACGTCCATTAATTCAGTAAGCCAGGTTGTATTTTTATCTTTGGTGCCACTAATTTTAAATATTGATAAAGTTTAAATATCGGCCGGCAATATCAGTATGTTACCTGGCCCTCGTGCGTCTCTACACAGGCCTGTTGTTTGTTCTGTCTTCATTAAGACAGTATGTAATGCAAAACAACAACACAAAAATTAAAAAACAATAAAATAAAAAAAATAATAACAAGCAACATGCCTAATAATAATAACAATAATAAAGAGAGAAAATATTGCTCAAACTCGTGAGACAAAAAGCGATAGCAATTAAGAGTTTTTAAAAATCCGATTTTACCCAGAATCGAGCATTTTTCTGTTGGGTGAGTAACGATGGTCTGCAGAATTTGTCGGAGTAAAAAGTAGCTATTTGGCTCATAAATGTTGCGAAGTGAAAGTAAAAGTTGAAACAACTTAAATAGGCTGCTCCAGCAAAGTACAAATCCAGAAAAGAAACTAATTAGGTACAGTAACGAAGTAATTATGCTTCGTTACTTTACTCCAGTAAACGGCCTATAACCTATAATCAGAGAAGCGTTTTCGCTCGAGTCGCTCTAGCGACACCGTGTGGTAGCAGCACGACACACTGCGGCAACTGCATAAAGTTTCCATTGCATTTTTTTCATTTTTGTGTTTGATGCTGCATGAAAATAGTTTGTCACGTAGTTTATTCTTCAATAATCTATGTACATCAGAAGTCTTAATGTATCAGTTAAATTCGATCAAAAATGAATAATTAAAATAAGCAATAAATAGTGACTAAAGTGATTTCTCAGATACTATCAGTAATAATTTTTGTATTTTTTCGTCTGTCTTTGTGAATGACAAATGATATTTAGGTCTGTTATTGGAAAACAACTGTAGTCAGAAACGACCCACGTATAAAACGGGGCACAATACGGAGCAGATCGCAATCGCAAATTAATATATGGCCGTTTTCACTGTAAGGCAAACCGAAACTGTACTGTGAACACGATTCATGTAAAGAGGCGTGGCTCTGTGAAATGCTCCGGCCGACATCTGCCATCTGAAAACTTCAGCTTCCTGCATTCAGATCTGCGAGGACCTTCGATCGACGTCTGCCCGGGTGCTGGGCTCCACGCCACGGCCGCAGTCATGTCTCTGCCCCGACAGCTAAGAGATGAGAGGTGAGACCTGGTCCCAGCGTGTGTGTGAGATAGGGACTTATCTGTCATGCACCTTGGACAGCCGCCAGTGATGAGCCCGGTAATATCGGTGACAGGCGATGCATTTTCAGTGAGTTACGACGTGTTTGAAATGCGGGATGCTGAATCATTCCCCTTTTTGAACTGTGTGTAAATTAGTATGAAAAAAAAGCTTGATGAGCATGAATTCATGGTAGTAATGGTGTGTGTGTTTACGGATTAACTATATCAACTCCTTCTAAACACGTTTTAGATAGCTAGATTGACAGACAGACAGACAGACAGACAGACAAATGATAGATAGTACTCCCCCCCCCCCAAATAATTTGGCTTCATTCTTTACCCCCTAATAAATAGACCTATGCATTTAAATTATTATGCTGCCCCCCTCCCCAGTATCAAAATGTCTCCTATGCCCTTTGATACATAGACAGAATATTATAATTTCCCCAAGGTGAACTTAAGACAAAATTAGGCTCTAAAGGTGTTAAGAACAAGCATTATTCCTAAATTGGCGCTATGTATGTTCATGGCTGAGGGAGATTTGAAATCAAACCACCACTATTACCTATTTCTCTGTTTCTGTTCTATTCTAATTCAAACACGCCGGGCTGTTTCCTCCCAGCCGTGAAACGGAGCTTTTTTAAACCTGCTGTATGAATCCCTGCCTGTGTCGCTTTTCCCTGCAGCGACTTCGACCAGCTTCCGGACAACATCCCGATAAGTGCCATGATAGCTGACATCGAGGAGAAGCGAGGATTCATGGTCTTCTACGTGAGCCCCTTCGCCGCACGGTTACTGCTGCCGGCCAGGCTCCGCAAACCCCCGTTAATATGCCGTCTCTGCAGTTATTGGTGTTTGTGGACGGCGCCGTCGCGCAGTGATTAGCGCGGCGGCGGGACCTGAAATCCCACTCTTGGCTCTGCGTGTGGAGCTTGCTTGGGCTTCCTCCAGCACTCTGGGCTCGTGCAGGCTGGCGAAGCCGGTGACTCTGAATTGCCCAAACCCCGCTGAGGGTCCTGACCTTGCCTGGCAGAGGGGGGGTTCGTGTGATTTCGTAATCCACAGAGCTACGTCGTTAGAGAACAGATCAGTGGGGAGAGGCCAGGCAAACTACAATCCAATAAAGACCCCATGAAATGTACCATTAAATACCAGAGTGCCTTTCCCGGACGAGGGTTACCGGTTCCCAGCCCTGGAGCCTGGCCCTGCGGTCGTTTGCCAGTAAGCCCTCGGTGGCTAAACTACCCACATAAATTGGCCATATTTAGCCTCATTGTCGTAATGGACTTGTGTTTCCTGTATGTCATGAGGTTCAGACTCATGCTGTACTGGATATGACGGTTGTGTTAGTGTCAGCTGCTGGAAGGTAACTGGTAATGGATCTCTCTCCCCACGTCAGCGGTTCGTGATCGAGGTGAAGACTAAGGGGGGCATCAAGTACCTCATCTACCGCCGGTATCGGGAGTTCTTTGCCCTTCACCAGGCCCTGGAGCTGAAGTTTGCCGGCGACAGCCAGATCGGCCAGTCCACCTGCACCCTGCCCACCCTTCCAGGTGTGTCGCCGCTGCACTCGGCCTGTCTGCTGCCCCTGTGCACCCCGTGTGTCTCCGTTCATGCAAATGCCTGCTCATTACCAAGCTTGCAGGTATTTACCTATGCAAACTCCTTCTACCTGTGAAAAAGTCATGCAAACCCAGAGCTTCAGCAGACCCCAGATTTGCCAGTAACGTCCAGCATTAGGCTACCAGTGTGCCTACAGCTTGCGGCACCGTACGTTACGGCAGGCATTAACTGGGACGCCTATCAGGAGGTCCTCGAGATGCTCGGCAAATGGGCTGAGGAGTGGGAGTGGAACTTTTACGCAGTAGCAACGACAAAGATGGGCCAGTTGTATAAATTCTAGATTTCGGTTATGAATGGCACCAGCCGGGCAGTGAGTTCCTCTGGAAGCTGCCGCTGTGATGCAACTCGGCAGTCGCATGATGGGAAGGTGAAGCGCAGGGCGGAGGAATAGGGAAGTTGCATGTGAATGACCGTCCGGGGGCCGGTTACACCATAGAAGGCAAGAATGGAAAATCCCATAACGACAGCTGTTAAAAACCCAAGCTTCTGATTGGCAAACAGATCCATAGTACATAGGAACTGGAGGATGGGATGGGGAGTTTAATTGGCACCCTAAGGAAGGGTAGGTCAACGGAGCAACGTATGAGATCGCATTTTACTTTCTAACTAAAAAGCGAGGAGTCGGGGACACCTGAAAGCTGGCCCACAGCTCCCAGTCTATCACTCGCATCCGTACAGAGCAAACCCTAGTTTATACAGTTATCTGCTGATTACAGGTGGGCAGAGCGGGGTCCTGAGCTCCCCCTAACCCTGAAACGTCTGCGACATCCCCGCGCCTTACCACAGCGGAAACGCACTACCCAGCATGCCCTGGGGCGAATCCGCCCCCTGCCGGCACCCCTCCACCACCCTGCCCCCACTCCTCCTTCCTCTTCCTGCCTCTCCATCCGAGCAGAGTTGTAATGGTTCCAGGTGGGCGGGACAGTCGCACCTGCGGACGGGCTTAGTGGGTGCAGGAGAGGGCTGCCAAAAGTTAAGACAAAGGAGGGCTGCCATTCTCTCTCTCTGTGGCTCATGCACGCGCGCGCACACACACACACACACACACACACACACACACACACACGCACACACACACACACACAGTCTCCAGTTTTAAATTAACTTCCCTGCCCTCTGTCATTGGCCCTATCCTCTTTTCATGGGACATTAATGTGACAGATCTCATCATTTATTTACTGTGAGCCCTCCCTCGTTCCGACCATGTGATCTATTCCTCTGTTCGGCTGCCGCCCCCCCCACTCCCCCCAGCCTTAATCCTCACGACTCTGCTGTGTCACATCGCCGCTCTCCGCAAATGGAACAATACTGCTGCTGATGAAGGGCCAGCGAGAATCGCTCTTAATTACTCGGGGGCTGGGACCGCCAGACCAGACATTCTGGCCGAAATCTATTTCCAGCTGCCTGCTTCCCTTCAAAATGTAAAATATCTCTCTTTTGTTGCAGTTTAAAACTGTATGTGGATTATTTTGTGTAGTATTTTCACCAAAAGTACCTACATCATCATGTGTTTATGCAGCAGGGAGTACTACTGTAGCATTTCAGGTGCCCCAGAAGGGTGCTCCTCAGTCCTGTTGGGGGTGTTGTATGGCCCAGCAGGTTTGGAATTATGCATATGATCGGAAGGTTATTGGTTCGAATCCCAAGACTGGCAGAGTGATGCCACCACAGGGTCCCTGAATGAGGCCCTTAACCCCCCAGGGGCCTGTTTCACAAAGCAGGATTACTTGCCAGATTTAAGGTAGTCTGGGTTAAATGTAAGTTGATAAAAATAAGGTCTATTTAGCCCAGACTACCTTAAATCTGGCAAGTTATCTGGCTAAGCAAGATATCCTGCTTTGTGAAACAGACCCCAGCTCTGGGGTGCTGCACATTGGCTGACCCTGCACTGTGACCCCCAACCTCTCACCTGTCTATGTGTCTCATGCAGAGCAACATAAGACAGGCAAAAGAAAATTGTGCCATAGGGATCAATAAAATATAATTATTCTGTTCCATCATTTATTCTGTGACGGGGCATTTTTGCCACGCATAATAGATTTTGTGCACGTGCACATTAATCTCCGTGAACTCACAAGCTAACAAACATCTGTTTACATATTCCCGGACAAAGGGGATGTTGAGGGCAGCGCTGTTCCCGTTTTTATTTAATATTAGCGCTCAGAGGTCTGAGCAGAGTCATTATTTGGACAGGTAGTCATGTGACACGGGCCACCAGGTGCATGTGAGCTTGCCGGAGTCTTTGTAACCTGCAGGGTGGGACTCATAGAAGCCTGGAACTGGAGCTACTGCTTTGCTAAGCAAACATGAAACGTACGAGATCCCGGACTCGACAGCAAATGGCAGAGTAATTTACATTCCAATTCTCGATGGAAAGCATGGTGGCACTGGAGCCTTACACCGCCAGGTTATGGGTTCCAATCCCACCTCCACAACTGTGTGAGGGGTTTTCAGGCTTTCTCTCTCTTGTGCAGGTTTCCTCAGGGGTCTCTGCTTGCCTCAAAACATGCACTTCTGTTGAATCTGTGCCTCTAAATGGCCCTTAATGTATGAGAATGTGTGTGTGTGTGTGTGTGTGTGTGTGTCCTGTGATGACCTCGTAACCCATCCTGGGTGCCCCTCCCACCTTGTACTTCCTGAGACCCAGTAGTGGATAAGGAGCTATGGAACTGGATGGATGGATGGATGAATGGATGGTGAATCCTGGATGGGAATATGCAGGATGAATGACACAGATTTGCAACTTTGCAGGCAAGGTGTACATGGGAAACAAGCAGGAGATTGCAGAAAACCGCATCCCAGAGCTGAACAACTACATGAAGGTGAAATGGTGTGGCGCTTATGGTGCCGATCGGGCGTTAGTGTGTCCCCCTCTGCCTGCCTGCAGCCCATCATGTCTTCTGGTCTCTCATGAGTTCCTCTTCGTTCTTATTTCCAAACCCCCATCCACAGTTCACAAACCTGTCTGATGTCACGGGGGTGATGGACAGCCCTGCCCCCTGTGTGTGTGTGTGTGTGTGTGGTTCAGATATACATTACACTATGGGGATCAACACAATGTGATTAAAACCTGTTTTTTTGATGCTGTGAAGACCATTTTTTCCATCTCCACAAGGGGAAATTCATACATAAAGATGTGTGACTGCAATCAAAAAAAATAAAAATGCCAAAAGTCTTGTATTTTGTTTGGTTACTTATGGTTAAGGTTCGGGCTGGTTAACGGTTAAGGTTGTTATTGTTGGGATTAGGGTTTTGCCCATAGAAATGAATGGATGGTCCCCACAAAGATACGAGTACAGGTCCCTGTGTGCGCACGCGCGTGTGTGCGTGTGTTCGCATTTGTGTGTGTGTGTACGCTTACGCACTTTGACCCTCTTTGTCACCTAGTGTAACGGTGAGGACTGAATCCCCCCCAGAATAATCTGCTCCGCCTTTCTCTCTGTGGCCAGAAACTGCTGTCACTGCCAACATGGGTTCTGATGGTGGAGGAGATCCAGATGTTTTTCTACCAGACGGATTCGGACAGCCTGCAGACCCCGCGCGCCCTGCGCCGGCTCCGCCCCCCCACCCGCCGCATGTAAGGCCATCATCCGCGCCGCGTATCCGTGCTTTCCGAGGGGGGGCTAACGTGTGCGTGATGAGCTCTCGGGCCTTCATCAGAACATCACAGCCAACTCTCCAAACAGTGCGGTTTCTTGTATTTGCGGATCCCTGATGATTTCCATGACAACGGCCTCTGGGATGAACCCGAACCTGTCGGGGTTTAGGAAAGCCACAAATGGGGTACCAACGGATGAGACTGGAAGAGCCCCCCCACCCCCACCAGACACCATGAGGCCCCCGTCGGAGCTGGGGGGGGTAGAACTGAGGATGTCTCCATCTAGCATCCAGCTTACTCAAGGAGGGACGTTGTGTAACCTCTCATCTCACATGGTTCCCTTACTGGGTCTCGTTTTTTTTTCTTCTGAACAGAAAAACCGTCAAGCCTAAACTGGACCTTCTGTCGTCCCCGAGAGCAGAGGTAACACATCCTTTTTGTAGCAAAATACCCACAGAAGGATCAATGTTCTGATTGGATGGTCTTCACCTAACTGTAAATGTCTGTTATTTTGCTCATGAATGAATGATTTTTACCAGTTCAGAGAGTGACCAGCCACAGAGCACTAGTCCTTTAACTCTGATTGGCTAATGGGGATTTGGCCCCAGTCACATGGTCCACACTCTGCCCCCCCTGACTAAACCATCCCTTGACGATTGAATCATTTCCAACATGAGTATTTGATAAATGGAAGTTTGTAGGGTGGTAGGTGTCTGCAGGATCGATCTTGCCAGATGACAGCAGAGGCCCTGCCCGGACCATTCATATGGTAGATGGGGGCTCAGGGCAGGGGCGCCCCCTCCTGGACTGGAGGGGAGGCAGCGTGTGCTGATTATCCAGCTCCCGCACGCCAGCTCACAGCCTCGGTGCCGAGAGAGAAGGTTAAATTACTTCAATTAGGGGAACAATTTAATCAAGTGCTCAGGCACCCAGGTGGAATTGAAACCAGCACACGGTGTACCCCCCCCAAAACGCCCCCCCCCCCCAGGGGATGTGGATAAACTGGCAATGATGGAGATCTAACACATGGTGTCATTGTCAGCGTGGTGAGGGGGGTGGGTGAGGGTTATCAGATTTGGGTCACCCA